GTTTTTATAAGTTTTGTATATAAATTTTTAACACTAATTTTTCATGTTAAAGTTAATATTAAGGTTAGAATTAGGGTTGGGAAGGGTTTTTGGGGTGTAGAACATTTTTACTTAGAACACCTCACATCAATTAATTAGCCAGTTTTTGAGATAATGTATATATAGGTGTAAAACACCATAGGTGCGTTTTAGTAAAATTCTTATCAAATTGAAATTTTGCTTGTAGCATAAATCTAAAAAGTTCATTTAAAAATTTGATATTAGCAGATGTGCTATCACATGTTATTGCTACTAATTTTGAAATAATCATTCTTTTAGAAACACTCTTCTATTGTATTTGCAATTGCAATACTAACATATAGCTCTTTCATTAGAATAAAATCAAGAGAATAAACAATATTACAGTAAAATAAAAATGATATCTAAAAAATATTAGTTAAATTTTAAGTTTTTAAATTTTCTTGCTGTTACTTAATATTACAACAAAAATATGTGTATAATTAATGTTACTAGCCGAATTCAAAAAATGATTTTGATAAATTTTTATTAAGTGATTACTTATATTTTGACAAATTAATGTCGCGGATGATCGTGAAATCGGATGATGGTGAAATTTAGGGGTCTTGATTTGAAAATATAAGCCCTACCAAAATCCACCTATACACTTTTACTAATAACTCTAACCCTAAATTCCAATTCAACTATAAAAAAAAAGCCGACAAAAAAGGTCCCGAAAATTTTTAAAAATCGGATATAAAATAGATCCAAATTTCACCATCATCCGATTTCACGACCATTTATTTACAAAACCGCTCAAATTTGAAATTACTACTTTAATTTAAAGGTTGCCATAATCGTGAAATTTTGCAATAAGTTGTACCGGTATATAAGAATATATACTGTTGTTGAAGGCAAAATCAAAACCTAAGACTTTCGCGAAACGTTTTACGAATGTACTACGATCGTTGCGCAAAAAAACCGTCGTCCCAGGACCCAAGAAATCGAATGAAGATCCTCACGCAGCAACCCAAACCTCATTGAAATAATGACGCCGTAGATCTTATATGCATTACCTTGACGGGTTATGTGTGGCAGTGGTAATGTAGTGCGATAAGTGGACGTTTTCTTAAATTCTTGTCTTCTATTTTGCCCTGTAAAAGGTTATAAAAGGCCTTCTTGTTCTGGCAAAATAGAATAAGTTGCAATTCGTTCTAAATAACAATTAAAAGGTTGCAATTCGTTCTAAATAACAATAAAAGAGACTCAATTCGCTGATAAAATAACAAAAAAGTTTATCTTGACTAAACCCTTCCCGTGTAACCTATTCGACTAAATCGAATCCGCCTCACCCTAATCGTCGAATAACGTTACGCGACGTCGTTCCTTTAAGAACAACACACTGTCTCCGCACTTATGGTTGCTAGTGTGTGGTGGTGTGTTTGCCTATAACACTGTATAATTTTGTTTAAATAGATTCAGAATTTGAAATTTGAAATTTGGCTAGCAGGTATCATACGTATTAATTTTTAAGTATTGTATTTATTTTCATTATTTTATATAATTCAAAATATTATCAAAAGTCGATGCTAATAAACATTTGGACTTAGTGCTGAGAAAAAGAACGAATTTGGTAAAAACAAAAAAAAAATTAATTATGATTTTGGTACCATTAGATTCATAAATCTAACGGTACAAAAATTTAATAATTCTGGTCAAAAGTTGACGAAATAATTAATTTTGTAAATACTTTTTTTTTTTCAAATTCGTCTCTTTTCTCAGCACCAAGCTCATTTGAAAGCTTATACAGAAAAATAAGAGAACACATGTAGATTTGAATCAAAATGTTTGGTTCAAATTTTAATTTTTTTTTGGAATTAATTACGCCATATTGATTGACGACATATATCTCTGAAACTTTAGGAATGATACATACTTTTAGAACACCAGTATGGAAAATTTAACAAATAATATTTAGTTATCGAATCGGTTCTATTACTAGAGCTTTTCAAAATATTCTAAGTTTGATGTTGTTCTCAACACTTGTCAAGTGTTTGTACTACTTTAAACTTTGTAAATTAAAATATTTTTAGTCAAACATTAAAATTAGTCAACATTTAAGTTTATTAAAGAAGGATTTTTATATGAGTTAATTATTGTCTGTTTATTAAAGAAAAAAACTTTAAACATGTATAGTAATTGTTATCCGTTGTTAAATTATAAGAACTTGAAAACATAAGATATATCTTGTACACATCTATATAAAGTAACATTATTAAACAAAAAAAATATATATATTTATAATTAATCGTCATAAGCAGCACTTCTTGCCGAATATATTTGAGCCATATGAGACTGATAAGCAGCTTCAGAGCTAGTCCGTGACGCCCAAGAACGTTGATTTTGATGTGCCGAAGTTTGCTGTAGAGAATGAGCTCTTCCACCGGATTGATAAACATATGCATTACTTTGTTGTCTGGCAATCATGCTTAGATCTTCTATTAATGCATCGTAAAATTCGGGGGCTTCATTACGATGAAGCATAATCTCTTGTTTCAAATTATTAATAATTGATTGTGCTCTGGTAAAATTGCCTTGTTCAGCAAAATTAGAAGCCTCCAAAATTGTTTTTGAAGTAAGATGACGGTATTTTTGTTGAATTACTCGAGAATTGATAGGATTGTCAGATGGATCTATTTCTGACGTAGTGTGTAATATCTTTAGAGATGAGGGAGATTCAAGACGGTTTACTCTGGATCCTCTATGAATATCAAAGTAATTGACATCAACATCAATTATTTTAAGTTCAATTGTTTCTGAATCATTATTAGTTTCCGTAGGAAGAATTTTGACCATGAATAATAAATCTTTCTTTTCCCCAGCATACAAGTTATGAATATTAATCTGTGCACTAAGCATATTATCACTGATCGTATTATCGTATTTACTAAGTACTTCAGCTATTTTAACGTTTTGAATTGTTTCAGGAACTCGTAGATGTATTTTTACATCACAGCATGAAATGCTTACAAGACCACCAAGGCAACCTGCAAAACATTGTTTAATTTGTTCGAATTCGTAAATATAAGTGAATGTTCCTTCCGTTTTTACAGAAATATTATGGAGTTTTCTTGCATCATGATCAGATCCATAACCAAAACTGTGAATAGAAATCCTGTACAAAGAATTATATAATTAATATAATTAATATAATTATACAGCTTTTCTCTTGTTCATGTTGCACGTCAGCTTAGAATTTATTAATACAACGTAAACTAGTGTAGATTTATTCTAAACTGGCGTACTACAATCAAATCAATGAAATACTTACTCAGCCTCACGAGCTCTTTCATATAAATATTCATAAGACTGTTCTTTATTATCCATACCATCAGAAAGTAAAATCATCCCTGTAATAGGATTCTTTGTTGTCCTCTGAGTTAAGACATCCAAACCTAAATTTCAAAATAATCAAGTTAAATACAATAAACGAATATTGCAAAAATATTGAAGCTTTAGACAATTTAACACACCTAGCTTAAGACCATTTCCAATATTAGTACCACCATTAGCTCTCAAATCTCGAATGGCTTGATAAAATTTACTTTTATTGTCTTCATTAACCAATAATAATGGAGTGATACGTTTTGCATAAGTATTAAAAGTTACCAAACACAAACGATCTTTTGGTGAAAGCTCACTGACGATAAAACTCAAACTTTCTTTAAGAAGATTAATTTTATCCCCAGACATCGAAGAACTAACATCTAATACCAGAACAATATCGGCATGCGAACTGGTATCTTTTGCATTGTCTGGAACATAATCACTCGTTACAAGTGAAGTCATACATAATAGCTCTTGAGACCCCGTATTAGGTACCATTTTATATGTTGAGGTGAGGCTTACGCTAATAGCTGGCTCACTATCAGTCAATAATGCGTGTTCATTGATGCTTTGATTCTCATCAATGATAATTCTGTCGTCGTCTCTAGGTTCATTGGTGTCGCCACTATAACGGGGCATTGGAGAGGATGGAGACACAGACTGATATGGCGGTGGTGGCGTTCCATTATATTTATGTGGTTGCAGAAATGAAGTGAAAAGTGCTGAGAAACGGTTATTGGAATTTGTGGAATTATCTTGAGACATTTTTTACAACTTTAACCAATATTAATATTTTTTACAATTTTAACTAATTTTAAGAATGTAGCAGCAGATGTCAATGCTTTTATTATTTTTTTTACGGACAAGTGATCCCGATTGCCCGTGCTAACTCCGTTAATGACAATGGACCTTATAAAATTTGATTGGTTAAAGTTCGGAATTTGTAATGTGTTTTCCTCAAAACATTGTTTGCTTCGCAAACTCTATTGTAGACCGTCCTTTATGGTAAAGAAATACAGATCGGACAGTTTGATTACACAAATCGGAAGCTGAATTACTGTATATGAGTGCCGCCAAGGGAAAATGTCCCTCTGTAAATTATAGTATATTATTAATTATTTATCTGATTCAGCCCTT